AAATGACAATAAAATCGATGTCGAATCGCCATCTATTCGACGTTGATTTGATGATTCCGGCATCGAATCGACATCGATTCAATGTCGACTCCATTATCATTTCTCACAGGGGATTATCCGCCGACCGATTCGAGTCGATCGTAGCGCATTTTTCATGATTCTCACTGCCACTCGCCAAAATCCGTAGTGAGCGACCGGCGGAGCGACAACGTTACAGCGTTAAGAGATGAGATGTAGTGGGGGCACTTAGCTATGGTGCTACTAGAGAGAATTAAGGGAGAATGGAGCAGATAGCATTCTCTTCTCTGATTGTGACTCCGCCTGACTAGTTTACATTTATATTAAATATATATAATCATCATCACCATATGAAATTATGAATAATCAAATATAATCATATATAAGTTATACATAATAATACATATTATTATGTATACATAATAATATATATTATACATGACCACGTGTAAAATTTGTTTACTGGGATATAATCTTTATTCAAAATATTCTTCTATATCTATTTTATTTTTAAACATTTTAATAGTAACAAGAATTACTTCTATTAAAATTTACTTACTTGAAATGAAATTGAAAGAATATTGTAATATTCAATAATATGTTCCTTCTGACGATATTCTAAATAATTTTCAGACAAAAGAGCAGCAAAGTACTGACTCTTGCTGATTAATTTTTGCTTATCAACTTCAAATCTTTTCTTTTTTAGAATCAATATCACTGTATCACGCGGTTTCTCAATTTCCTGGCTCTTATTTTCCATTCTAAAATCAATACGATAAATATACTTATCTTTAAAAAAAACTTTTACGAAAAAGTACAGAAAAACTATGTAGATTAAGAAAAGAGCTTAAAAATTCTTAAATTTTTGTAGATATTCGTAGAGTGGAGTTGTTTAAGAGCGGAAAATTTCTTGGTTTTTCAAACAACGCCACTCTACGTACCATTATAAATATTTATTAAAAAACTACGAATTTCTAAGATATTATCTCAAGCTATGTAGTTGTTCATAAAAAATTTTCAAAAGGGTACTAAACATATAAACATATAAATTATTAGCGCTACTCACTTTTATTCAAGATTTTTCACTCGACACGTGGCTTCAGTATGTGTACACCTTCTCGAGTCTTTATCACAATTGAGTTAAAATCGTCAGCACGAGGCAAGGTCGGTGTGAAAACTGACCTGCACATTAGGGTTCGGAAAATATTCTAGATATTGTATCTAGTGTCGATACAAAAAGATACTGGTTTATGTATCGATATTTATCGATACTTCCCCGAAACTTCTGGTTTTATTTACAATTTCCTTACAATAAATTTACATTAAAATGTAATGTATTATATATTTGTATTATATATTTATTTTTATCACAAGATATATATTTCTGTGTAGACAAATTTATCTTTTAAGTTTTATCATTATGGGTGTAATCGAGTTGCCACTACGGATGCTTCAAAGCATTTGATTAACCAATTGGAAGAAAGAATCTTACTAACTGACCAATCAAAAAATGCTTCGAAGCGTTCGTAGTGGCAATTTGTTCGCACCCTAAATTACAAAAATAAAAAGGTTTTTAAATAGAATTTAAAAACAAACAGAAATTAGTTAATCTGCTTATCTGATAATATCATAAGAAGGAAACAAATAATATTTTATAACTATTTTACTAGTTTTATCTACTAGTCTTTCTAAATAACATATAAAATATATTGTGGGGTCTATCTACAATAGAAATCGTAGCGGTTGTTGAGTCTTAAGAAAATCCTAAAGTGAAGCTCGAACCCTGATGAAATCGCTGTTTTACTGATAAAATGCGACACAGCGATATATCTTTATATGTATACTATGTATTACTGATATGAATCTATCTTAAACTGTTGCCGAATACGTAAAATATACATTACTTACTGAGAATTCATGACATATATGTTTCTTACTGTGATTTACAAACTATTATTTATGTAATTAAATTGTATTAAATAGCCGCATTTGCGATTATATCAAATCTGAACTTCCGACATTTGCTAAAAACAATTAGCATTTAATTTCTTATAATGTTAAATCATATATTTTTAATAAAAGCTAATATAAGAAAGTAAAATTGTACGTGAAAAAATTTGATATCGAATTACTATTTTATAAAATTCCGTCATAAAATATATATTTTTTGTAATAAGTTAATAGCATTATTTGTGTAGAAATAAATGTAGTTTCTCATACATATAATTTAGTATCAAAATTTACTATTTTTTAAAATGGCTATTGATATAGCTAGCTATTGATATAAATATTTTATAGTTGAGATGAATATTAAATAAGAATAACACAAATTATAATACTGATAATATTTATAGTCAAATATTGCGAAGTACTATGTCTTTATTGTTTTCTAGTTGTAACAAACAGTTCAGTGTTGACAGGTTGTAAAAAATTTTTAACTATAAAATCTTTTATCAGGGGATCAGGTACGAAAACACGTACTCGTAAAACATTTTTAAACTTAACTGTGATCTCAAAGTATCTGTATTCTACTTACGTTGCTAACATTGTAGGATATATCAGTTACTTAAAAAAATATTTTCAAATAAAGTTATACATTATCAGCATTAAGCATTTTTCACGCCAAAGGTGCTATTTAAATTGCTATGATTAAACCAACTGTGAAAGTTATATTTATCTATAAATGAATATCATGTATTTTGCACATCGTGTACATAAATATTAGAAATGTAATTAAAAGTTGTTTGTATATAAATCCGTTTTGTCATTTTCTAGTAACTATTACTAACTGTTATCATTAATTCTAATTTAGATTCAGCCTAATGACAAAATACTTTTTTTTAAATATAACCAACTTATACACACACGCGAGCGTGCAAATTATGCATAGCATGCATTGTACGCCATACACATATTGTATACGACTTTCATATTTTATGTATGTATAAAATAATAAAAAATTTTTAGTGTGAAACATAGATTGCGTTTAGAAAGGCGCTATTAGTGCTATTGATATCATTTTATCTTCATCGTTTATTAGACAAAAACAAGGATAGAATGTCACAAATAGCATTAATAGCTCTTCCAACGCATTCTATGTTTCACATTATTAAATACACAAAAATTTTTTATTATTCTTGAATCTTGTAGCCGAAACATAATCTCGAGAAGTGTTATACAGATTTATTTGTAGGCATTTGTAAACATTTAAATTAATTATGTAATTTATATCTCTTATCTTTTATATATGAATTTCGTATCTTTAATTATATATACAATTGTAGAAAAATGTTGAAAATACGGATTTGTTAGGAAATCAATGAGTTTAAAAATTCATACGTTTTTGTGCTGTGCAGCCAATTCTTCTGAGCAGTGCAACAGTTTAAAGAAAAAAATATTGTCTTCTTTGTCAAAGTATATCTTCAATATCTGTCATTTTGTAAAATAGTTTCTATAACTTAATTTTGATTTTCTTAGTTATCAAGGATAACGTTTAACCTCTAATTTAAGTTTTGGTTTATTTCAATGCAACGATTTTTTATTATCGCTATTTAAAAATATTAAAAATTTATACTAAAATTTAGTTGCATTTTTTTTGTCGGTGAGTACAATTAAGAAGTAACAAATTTATAAAATTTGGCATTGTTATGAAATTTACACTTAAAAACGTACTTTTGTAAGTGTATATGCCAGATCGTCTAAATGTGATTCGTTATACTTAATGTTTCGCAAATTACAAAAGATTGTAAGACATTGGTATATATGTAGTACTGAAATGTGTAATATATAATACTGAAAAGATCCGATAAAAATATATATTAGCATTGGAAAAGCATACATCACAACGCAAGATATCGTTAGCGAGTAGTTATATTTGATTGCAATAGATTATAATCGAAATACAAATAATTACATATTACATAGACGTTTCGGCCTTACATTAGGCCATCTTCAGTATATAAGAATTTCGTAAATTTTTTTCTCCGCAACAGTCACCTAATCTAAGTTAATTTCTTATAATATGTCTAATTATAATGTAAGAACGCTCGTTATCTAAAATTTGTTTTACATTTTTCCATATATTGATGTTAGTTCAAAGAGTTTCGAATTATATTCTTCAAAGGAAATCGTCTTTTATTACAAATTTTCCGATAGTCCAAATATTTATACTTAGTTGTTACTTGAAATACAAAATTTCCACATTCTGTATTACAGTCAACCCACTTGAACGTGGGTTCATATCGAAAGTGGATGACTTATTGTAATAAAGTACTCGTAAAGATATTCTGTCGTGGGGAAAAAAATTGCCCTTTATTCTTCCGTTTTTAAATTTTGATCACATATTAACATTTATTATATATTAACATATTTTCTGATATAAATCTCTATTCTTTAAAAATATAAAAAATTGGAAAATTATTATATATATATATAAATTTTATATGTTGTACATTTTTTGCATTTTGTATGTATCTTATATGGAACTGTTATATGCATTTTATACTGTTAAAATACACATTGCTAATTATTATTATTAATATAAAAAGTTCAAAGAAATATACAAAATTGCGAAAATTTTGTGATGTAAAACTATCGTTATTTGGCGCTTAGAACGTTCGCAAGTTTCAAGATTTTGTACCACAAAATTTTCCCAACTTTGTATATACTCTTTTGTTATTATTGTTTCAGTATTATTCAAATTCGGACATAATAACACCTTAGTTACTTATCGGAAATCGAATTTAGAATTTAATGGTTTTATTTGTGTCTCTCGATAAAAAATTTGAATATTATAAAAATTAATATTTTTAAATATTAAAGTTAACGAATTATTTGAAAAATAGTTTTCAAAGAGTTTTGTGGTAATGTATATTATTTTTCTTCAATATATTTCATAAAAAATTAAAATGCATATATAAAAAATGTTTAACTAAATTACTTTAATAAAAAGTATTTAAAAATGAAAATTGCTTCAAGGAAACCTTTGTTAATAAATTTTAAAAAATTCGTAAAAACCTACAATATATAATGTCTCATTTAGTTTGTACTCTTTTATGAATCTAATCATTTATTCAGCTTGCTCTGACAAATAAATAATGTTTGCGAGCGTTATAAACGCCAAATGGAGCCTTACTCGTACGTACAGTGATGAATCAAAATTGGCAACCGAAAATTATCACAGTAGCACGATTGGAATGCCTAAATGATATTCAGCTTGACTCTCTCAAGTTGCATCACAGAAGAAATGTTGTGTGTTTTCCTTAGCGCAATCGTTGATCTCCTTCAGCAGACGTTTTAATTCACAAATGATGGGTTGTCAAGATCATATGCGTCCAAGAACCATGGCCAGCAATGCCATGCGCACGTAAACTCCGTTTTCTGCCTGCCGAAAGTAAGCCGCCCGTGGGTCAGTATCAAATTCTTTGCTTATTTCGAAAACACGTGGTAAAGGGTGCATCACTGCCATCTTTCTCTTCGCACGAGACATCAGCTGCGGAGTTACTATGAAGAATCCGCACATCTGTTGTACATGTAATGATTTTTTTAAAACTTAAATTAATGTGTAATTAAAATTAATTTAGAAGCAAATATTGAATAAGTAAAAGTGTCATTCGAAGTAAAATGATATTTAGTTTCAAATATCGATCATTAATAATTTTAATAATTTTATATAATTTTGAATAGATTAATGTAATAATCTTGAATAAAAATATTAATTATTAAAAACCTAATTCGTAAAGAATTTCGTAATAAAAGAAATACACGAGTGCGTATAGAATATACTTGCTTTCTTACGAAAATTTCAATGCTCGAGTAACGACCCACCTTGTGATACTGTTCTTGCGTAGCGAAACGCTCACTTTGTATCCGCGTTATATAAAGTACGTCGGAGTCGGGTAGAGCTTCTTCCAGAGTTGAAAATCTTTCTTGAGAGATACCACGTTCAGCCACATAATTAACGACATGATTCGGCATGTCAAGGCCAGGTGGATTGACGTAGCGAAGTTCTACGTTGTATAGGGTTAGTAGTCTACATCAGAATTAAAAAAATGATACGTATTAAACATCTTGGTTTCAATAATATGTCATAAAGGATGATTACATTGTTTGAAATAAAAATTAATTGTAAAGATTATACGAATTAAATTTGTTATTTAGAATCAAATAACTTCTTCGATTTTTATTGTCAATTACAAATATATTGTTCTTAACAAATATAAATTGTTCCTAACATATTTAAAATATTTGAACATTTATATTTTCTTACTAAAAATACATTCAAAATCCTATTAATATATTAAAATTAAATTTATGAATTAAGTATTTAATCCTGTTTGAAGAAAAAAAATTAGATTTATTTTATTTTTATGTTTCTTCACAATCTCAGATTTTTAAATATATTTTCTGATTTGAAATCGACATTCTTTCAATAAACGTATATAGAAGTCAACAGTTTTAAAAATATAACTTTGCACAAATTTATTTTGCTATATTGTTCAATTTTTGCAAGTAGAATACTGTATTGTATTGTATGTTTAAAACTATCTTAATCAATTGCACTTTTCATAAAAGACTGCATCTAAATTCAGAATTAAAATTGTATAATATATATGTATAATATATATATATATATGTGTGTGCAATTGTCTATCCTATTGATCAACATCAAAATTCACTATACAAAAATTGCAGCATGTCTTAATAGCTATCGAAAAATTTGATCATTTCTTTATAGGATATATTGTATAAACTTATACGTGTGATATTTGTATATTTCTTGCTTTTTTTTTTTAATTGATTACCTTGGATAAACGGATTCTTTTTGTCGCACTAACCTTGCAAGAGAATGAACAGTTCTACCGTGCTTCAAATCCCCGACCATAGTGATTGTAAGACCATTTACGGTTCCGAATTCATCTCTAATTGTGAAAATGTCCAGCAATGCTTGCGTCGGATGCTCACCGGTTCCATCACCGGCATTTAATATCGGTTTCCTACAATGCTGCGCTACTCTCTGTATAAATTATTATTAATTTAAAATTAGGAAAGATATAAAAAATGCAGAAAATTTAACCAAATAAATAAAATAAATAGTTTTTATACTTATGTATATAACTTCAATACTAACAGCTGCCGCACCCGGCGCTGAGTGTCTGAGTACAACTACATCCGCGTATCCTGCCATTACTGTTACTGAATCTAAAAATAATAATTTGATAACTTATTAAATATTTGACGAAAGATTAGAAAAAACATTACTTCCGCGTGTTTTGTAGATTGTCTCTGCATATTAGAATAATAATTAGTTGGAGATTTACATTTTACTTCAATATTTATCAAGGATCATGCTTTATTGTATGAAATAAATTTTTATAAACCTTCTAAGGTTTCGCCTTTCTTTACTGATGATGTAGAACCATCCATGTATATCACGCGTCCACCGAGACGTTCCATTGCGGCAGCAAAACTACACGAAGTTCTCGTGCTAACTTCGTAGAAGATAGAAGCCATAATCTTTCCCTTAATCATACATTATACTTAATCTTTTTAACTAAGAAATTAAGGAATAGTTTTGTATATATATAT